CACCGATTTTATTCTAGGCAACAAAAAAGAAGTCACATGGAGACACGTCGGGCGAATAAGGCGGTTGTTGCAACACGACGATCCTTTTTAGGCTAAATACTGGGACACGCTAAGGGCGGTGTGGCACTGCGAGTTGTCGTGATGAAGGATCCAGTTACTAGCGATGCCTTGGCGAATACTTTTAACTTGTTTTCGCAATCTTTCGAGTATTTGACTATGGTGGATTTGATTTATGGTTCGTTCCGGTGGAAAAAATTCTTTGTGAACAATTCCACGGCTATCAAAAGAATCGGTTTCACCTTCGACATAGCTCATGGGAGCTTTTTAATCGCAACGCATTGCTACTGATCTCGGTTTTCAACTATCGTGACGAGCACCACGGACACACGTTTACTCAACACGACACAGCAGGCGAACTAAACAAGCGAGCTAAAGCGATGGAAAATATATCAATGGAGAGGAGAAGCATGCCGGAAGAAGGGAAAGGGAAGTTCAAGATCGCAGGGTTACCACAATCGCGGCAATATAATCAGTCTCTTTACTTTATTGTCACACCTCGTGAATACAATTTCGGAGCTAAACCTTAATATGAATCCTGTATTTGAAACAATTTCCCATGTGCACCTTCTATGAAATTTTTTAAATTCCCCTCACCAATTTTAGGACTTTTATACGTTTCGTCCAGTGCACGCCATTGAATATTAATATCTCATAGCACAGGGTACGCCATACATGATGAGGGCCAAAGTACAAGTCTTTTTCTGAAATCACTAAGTAGTACGCTTGCTACTTTCGGAAGACCAGGACCCGAGTTGCGGGACTTATTGTATTCCCCTCCAAGTGTGTTTCCGAAATAAATAAAAAGACCTTTATGAAAACCCACCGGCCGTTCGAAAGCGACTTAAAATAAACTGCAGGTCCCTCCATTTGTTGGAAAAAACGTCAAGACGCAAAAACGACAAATCGGAGGAGGAGCTCGACCGAAAATCGCCAAGCGGTTACAAAGCGTCAATTATATATTATAAACATCGTTTTTGGCGTTGATGCTGGTTCCAAGATATTCGAAATTATCTACTACGTCAAAATTATGACTGTCCACAGTGACATGGGAGCCGCATCGCGAATGCACTGACGGTTTGTATGAAGACAGACCCTGACGTTTTGTTAAATTAGGTTAGGATTAAGTGATTATCGTGAAGCTTAAGCTGGAAAAAGAAAAACTTCTAAAAGTCGCCCATCAATTCCTATATGGTGCGAAGGTATGACGATAAGTCGCCGTTGGGAGTTTTCGAAAGTAAAGTTTTGCGTAAGATTTATTGTCTTTTACGTGTTGATAAGGATGAATACCGCAGCCGATGAAACGATGAGCTGTACGATATATACGGCGACATTGACATAGTTTAGCGATTGAGCAGACAGCGGCTACGCCGGCTAGGTCATGTGGTCCGGATGGATAAGAGTACTCAGGATTTGAAAGTTTTCGATGCAGTACCTGCAAATGAAAGTAGAGGTAAAGGTCGAAGGAGATCTCCACTCCATTGGAAAGACCAAATAGAGCAGCATCACACTGCCAAAATAAGGAATGCATGGTGCGCTGATATTAACTCGGGTATAAACGCTTAAGCCGTGTCTATGCCAGTAAATAAGAATAAATGGCTGGAAAAAGTGACGAGATCTTCTTCTAAATAAGACTCTTTCAACGAAAAACTCTCATATTATATATTGAGCTTTTAGACGGAGTTTGGTTTAAGATGCCGAAAATGAAAGAGGAGAGTTCGCTTCCACATAAGCTCATCTGCTACCTTCTTACACAGTAAACTACTCTGTGCCATACCAGGTTGAAGTGAAGTGAAGCTGAGAATCATAGAGTCTTGTACTCTGCTGTTTCACTTTTAAACACTGGCATTTTTGCTTCTTCTTCTTATTAGCGATATATATACATATAATAAAAAAGCAATGGTGTGTAGCCATAAAAATTATTCGTTTTTATTGTGAATGGGTCCAGTTCTCTCAGGAATGCTTTTTGATTTTTTTTTTTTGGGCGCCGCCAGACTCTTATGGTACACCTCTGAATGACGTAATTGGTGAGCAAATGTTGAGTGCAGCCACAAAACTTTACAAATTTCAAGCGACTTTTATTCAAAGAAAAAATCTAGTAATTACACACATACAAATGTACACACAGTAGGAGGAGGTCACTACACAAAGTACAATAAATGAGTAGACCCTTATGTTGGAGTTGCAAAGCGTGAAGTGTCATATTATCACACGTTGCATGCCACAGCAACAAACTGCATTACTTAGGGAATTGTATTAAGTAAAAAAAAAATATAAAATTTATTACATATATGTATATATGTGTATGTATGTAAATGCAAAGCACATATACTATTGCTTTTTTTTACACCACACACACACCCATCTAGTTAAGCACGAATGCATGCATGCTTGCACACACATAGAACTTTGTATTGAATGTCAATAGAAAATGCGACAACTTGAGAATGCTCCAATGCGACGGAGCATTTCACGGCCTTGCTATACTACAGTTCCTGCCTCTCCATACTCACTCACTGCTTGTCATTGGCTGTGTTTCTATTTCATTGTTGTTGTTGTTGTTGTTGTTGTTGTTGTTGTTGTTGCTTTTACATACAATAAATGCCATATGTCTGGCCTGCCGTAGGGGATTTGAATGCGACAAGCCAGTCGTCATCCTCGGTGCCGTCAGTGTCAATAACATCCAAGTGAAGCGTTAAGCACACAAATGGCTTAAGAAACAGCCAGAGGACAGGAAAGTAAATTACAAGTTTTACATTTGCGTAAAAAAAGGCTTTAAATATTAAGCATTTCAAGGAGATCAAATGTCGATGGTTTACTTGCTTTTACTTTAATTTTTTACAAACTTGTAAATTTCTTGTTCTGGATCGGTGCCTCAATCAAGTGTGTGATTGTGGAGCTCTGGAGTACTCTTTTATAATATATATATCATATGGCAGTCTTCAGTGAAGCTATTCACAAGGCGTCAAAGGCAAAAAGGAGCGCAGTCCTTAAGAAGAGAATCGATACACAACACCTTTTCAGCGATTTTAAAGCTGACTTTGAAACCACAGTAAGGAGCAGCCATTATGTCCTTATGTCTGAATTTGGTTTGCCTGCAAAACTTGTACGGCTGCGTAAGGTGTCGCTGGACCATCCCAGAAGCCCTGGCAGAATTGGAAATATCCACTTCTAGCCGTTGGGTATCAAATGATATTTCAGACATGGTGACTCTCTATCGATGACTTCAAGCTGAAAATAATAAGAGCTGTGGAGCTGCTAAATATATAAAATATAATCTCAGCCGCAGCCACGCCGTAAGTTCTGCTTTCTCCAGGTTAGACAAAGAAGCGAAGCGAAGGGATGTGAGAATGAATGCCAGCAATACGAAATATCTCCTCCCATCAAACAAACGGTCAGCGCATTTGCGTCTTCGTGCCCATGTCACAGTTGACGATCATGATTTTGACAATTTCATCTTTCTTAGGACCAGCAAGAAATAATATCGGCCTTGAAATCCAGCGCAGAATCACGCTTGTTATCAGAAGTTGTTTTGGGCTTAGGGAATTTAAAAGTGAAGTCCTCTCCCGACGAACAAATATCAAACAGGACGTTGAAGACCTCATACAAGTCGGGGCTAGGTATTTTTGGGAGAAAAGTTTTGCGAAGGACTTATAGTGTTTAGCGTATAGGAGACGGCGAGCTCCGCAGCCAATGAAAGACTGAGCTCTACGAGTTTTGTTCCGCAAGTGAAAAGACAGCGGCTATGCTGACTCTGTCATGTGTTTCGGACGGATGACAGTATTCGATACAGCCGTGGTAGAGAAAAGCCTACACGTCGTCGGAAGAATCAGGTGGATAGCGACCTGGTCCAGCTGGCGGCAAGCAGCGATAATAAAAAAGTGTTGACGTGTCGTAGTTAGCTCGGCTGTAAACGCCTGAGTGGTCAATATAGTTGTAACAGAAAGTAGTAGCAGAAGTAGTCATCACGAAGGTCGTTAATGCTTCACGCTTTATGAATTACAAAGCTGGGAGAAGCCTGAATCATGATATGGATAATGTTAGCTACAGACAGAGGAGCTGTATTAACGACCTTTTTTTGGCCTTTACACCGTCCCATCTTACTTGTTCCTGCGTCCTTCTGTCTTTAGCGTCTCTCAAATTTTCTGTTCCCATTCAACCTTCTGATGGAAAAACACTTAAGAAAATCTCATCATCTATTTCGTTCCACACAATGCTCTTTTGTCCTGGATATCTACTAAAGATATGTAAACGAGTATGACATCTTTTTTGTTCATATTGTTGTGGTGGCTCTCCAACCTCGCTTAGGTGCAGGTGAGACAAGTCTAAATCATCGAGGTCATCTAACAGGAGGTCTGGGAAACGAGCTGTTTCGTTGGATTCGGACCAAAGGGAAAAGTGATTAATGAGTGGATTTTAGAATCACGAAAAAGGCTGTGGCTTGTGTCGTACGGCGCCTCATTTAGATCCGACGATATCAATTACGAAGAGCCAAATAATGTTGCACCTAGATTCAGAGCATAGAAAACACTCTTCAGTTCATTTCGCAGCCGCGAATAGTAGAACAGATCGCAAGCTCCATAATTGGACGAAATTCAGAATTCGGTATTAACTGTTTCATCGTTCGAAAAGTAGATAGCGCGGCTATATGTCTGTTTATGTGAAATATGAATGAAACTGCTTAAGAGAGTGATCGCGCCAGGGATTTCTCGATGGACGTTTTTATCACTCGTGCGGGATTCAAGAGCGAACTACTTTTTCGCTAATCTCTTTCAAAACCCCATTTTGTTAAATCTCGAAAACTGTGCGGTTCCGTTTAGGTAGATTATATATCTATAAATATTTTGGCAAGATTTTGCGCTCCCTCTCCTCTCCCACTCTCCTCCTAATACGTTCACACAGCCTCTGATGTTCTTCAAAACTTTTTTTCTGTTCATTTCCAGCTCTGTGACGTTTCTCTGGAAGTTGGCGGCGAAACCATACAGGCCCATAAGGTGGTACTCGCTTCGGTGTCACCATATTTCTATGCCATGTTCAATGGTGAGTTTTGACAAATAATTTATTAAAAATACGAGTCTCCAAATTTCAATTTCCTAACAACCACATTTCACTTTACCTCTCCCACTCAGATGATATGCTGGAGCGCAATCAGGGTGCGGTTCGTTTGCACGATGTTGATGTGACGGCTTTGCGTCAACTCATCGATTACACCTACACCGGTGAGATCACGATAACCGAAGACAATGTGCAGGTGTTGCTGCCCGCCTCCAGTTTGTTGCAAATCCATTCGGTACGTGAGGCATGCTGCAAATTCTTGCTGCGACAGCTGCATCCATCCAACTGCCTGGGCATACGCAGTTTTGCTGGTGAGTGGAAATATTTTCTGTCTATTCATTGAGGGCAAGCGTTGTTTATTGATAACCACTACTACTACTACAGACGCACATTCCTGCAAGGAGCTCCACACGCGTTCGCATAAATATGCGCTGCAAAACTTTCAGCAAGTCGTCGGAACTGAGGAATTTTTACTTTTGCCATTTGATGAGGTAAGCATTTTCACAGAAGCTGGGAGCTTGCATGGGATGTTCCATTTCATCTTTGATATTTTGTTTTCTTTAATAACTTTGATCTCAATCCTCTCACAGGTAAAGGATCTAATATCGAATAATCAGCTGAACATTTGCTCCGAAGAGAAGGTCTTCCTCGCTGTGCTCAATTGGGTTAAACACGATTTGGCCGAGCGGCAAGGCCACATTGCCGAGCTAATGAGCCACGTACGCTTGCCGCTGGTGGGACGCGACTTCCTCATGACTTGCGTAGAGACCGAGACACTCATAAGGGAAGATGCGCAATGCAAGGAACTCCTACTCGAGGCCATGAAATATCATTTACTGCCCGAGCAACGCAGCCTGATGAGCAGTCAACGCACACAAGAGCGCCGCCCGGACGGCATGAAACCGTATGTGTTCGCTGTGGGCGGTGGCAGTCTTTTCGCCATACACAACGAGTGTGAAGTGTACAATCCGCGTACCAACGCTTGGACACCCATAGCGCCGATGTTGTGGCGTCGTTCGCGTTCCGGTGTTACAGCGCTGCATAAGCAGCTGTACGTCGTGGGCGGTTATGATGGCGTAAGTGATCTGAGCACCGCCGAGTTCTATAATCCGTTGATTAATAAATGGACCAATATCACACCCATGGGCACGAAACGCTCGTGTCTCGGCATATGCGCCTATGATGGGTTACTTTATGTTTGCGGTGGCTACGACGGCGCTTCGTGTCTCAGCAGCATGGAACGTTATGATCCGCTGACTGCTATTTGGAGCTCTTGCCCTGCAATGAATACGCGTCGGCGCTATTGTCGTTTAGCTGTGTTGGATAATTGTATTTACTCGTTGGGCGGTTTCGATTCGACCAACTATCAGTCGAGTGTGGAGCGTTTCGATCCGCGTGCGGGCCGTTGGTTCCCCGTGCAAAGCATGACGGCGCGTCGTAGCAGCTGCGGTGTAGCCTCCTCCGATGGTTACTTGTACTGCATCGGTGGTAATGACGGCACGATGTGCATGTCGAGCGGTGAGCGCTTCAATTTACGACGCAACGCGTGGGAGCCGATCGCGGCGATGCATTCGAGGAGGTAAGTTACGACTGGAAGGTAGCGAAAACAAGTATAATGAAATATATTTCTCGTTAAATTTCTCAGATCGACACACGAAGTCGTCGAGGTAGATGGCGCGCTATACGCGCTCGGCGGCAACGACGGCTCATCATCACTCAACTCCGTAGAACGCTACGATACGCGTCTGAACAAATGGACCGTTGTCAACTCAATGGTAGCGCGACGCAGCTCAGTTGGCGCAGCAGTGCTTGAATGCTTCCATCTCGAGCGCGGTTTGGTACAGACGACGAACTTATGACCTTTATCGACCATAGCAGAAACATTTGCGGCGGCAGCAGCGGCAACCGTAGTAGTTGGAAATGGTAATAGCGGAGCGGCTACAAATGGCAGCAGCAACAGCAGCAGTAATAATCACACAACATCGAACGGCATCAGCTCAATGGTTACCAACAATATCATCGTACCCGGTCGGGCGGTAAGCGGGCGCAGTATGCTGGGTGCTGCCGAGGTGAGCGGTAGCGTTGGTAGTTTGATGAGCAGTAGCACCAATACGTTGAGTACATCAGCGCCAACAACAACGTCGACTTTGCGACGCTTGCGCGAACGTGAAAGGGAACGTGAGAGAGAACGTGAAAACAGCGGTGCGGAGAATCGCGCGAATGGCGTTGTGGTGGCTGGTGGTAGTAATGGCGCAGTGACAACAGGCACAGCTGGCGTAAGTGTTAACGGTAATGGCGGCGGCGCGACGGGTAAACCACCATCGACGGCCTGATGTTTGCGCTTCAAGTGATGAGAGTGTAGGGAGTAAGTCCTCAAATACGGCCGAGGAGAGTTAAGCGTACAGTGGGTAGGCAGAAACGGGAAGGAGGGTACGGGAAGAACAAGTTATTGTTAAGCTAAGCAGTATTTCTAGTCAACGGGCAAATTACGCAAGCGAATGTGCTGGGTTTTAAAGTTGGCATTTGCTTGTGCCGAATATTGTGTGCGCAGGGAAAATGAAAGGGATACGAACTCTCGGCAGAAACCAATAAATCAAAATCTTATTAGCTCGTTAAGTGCATTAAAGTAATTTTTGTATGAAACTTTTTTTGGAATAAAATGAAAATATAATAAATATTTATTTTCTACCAGCGTCAGCCCGCCTCAACACCCTATTTGTATGCATATATATGTAAATACACACTCATTCATTTATATATATATGTATATGTATATGTATATGTATTTGTAATTATTAAAATGTCATAAAAGTGCATTAAATATCTTTTAAACTAAATGTAAATACACACATACATACATACATACATACATACATATTTATATACATTTATAAATGTGACAAATTCTAATTCCATCAAAGGTGGAGCTAATGAAAAAAATTATAAAAAATTTAGTGACTTGGAAAATAACAAAAACACAAAATACAAAAAAAAAACTAGCCTAAAAACTTTACTGCCCTTATACATATATATATGTATGTATGTAGCTAGTTTTACAAGAAGAAAATATTAAGGAAAAAAAAATAAAATAAAATAAATAAAACAAAATCTGAATATATGGAAACGAGTATTTAGGGAACGCGCAACAAGAGTTTTGCAAAAAAAATTAATTTAAAAATTAAAGAAATAAAAAATAAAAATAAAAAAAAAAATTAATTTAAAAATAAAAGAGATAAAAAAATTAAATAATTTTTTTTAAATTAACAAAATTACAAAAACAAAATTTTTGGCGCGCAAATTAAGCAAGCAAATTGAATCGAATAGCAAAAATTCTACAAATATTATATACTTTATTATATACATACAAACTTACATACATAGTTACATAAGTAATTATGAAGTTATGTTTAATTTTTTTTTTTTTGATTCTTAATATCTTGGCAAACTATGCTCTTAATTAGCATAAGGAGAAGAAAAGAAAATAATTAAAATTCATTAAAGTTACATACATATATATGCGCTTGCATATCCATACATGCATACATACATACATACATACACATAAGTAAATATAAAAGTAGATTTATTAATTGTGACAAATCCTATCCACCTAACCATGAAACTACGATTTACCTTATATAAAAGGATATTGCAAGGAATTAAAATAAATAATAAACATACAAACATACAAACATACATACATACGTGTTTTAGAGAAAATAAATAATTACTTGAATATTAATATAAATATTTATGTAACAATTGGAATATTCATAAATACATTTATATGTAGGATATTAAATAAATATACATACATATATACTTACATATATAATCACATACGTGTATGTATATTTAAGGCTTCAATTTGAATAGCCCACTCGACGTGCTTTGGCCGTTACAAACTGAATTCTTATGCAATTACTTACAATTCAAATACATACAAACAATTATGAAATAACATTAATATTGTTGTTGTTGTTGTTGTTTTTTTTGATTAAGGATTTTGCCAAATAATGCATTTTTACTTTTGCTTCAAGTTTTGAGTAAAGGGTCTAGTGATGTTGTTGTTGTTGTTATTGTTGTTGTTGTGACTAAGCTGCTATTGTAGTTGCGACGAGGCTGTCTGGAGAGTTCTTCGTCTTCTACATCATCTTACGGTGAGCCCGTGAAAAAACCAACTGATTCGATGGAGAAAGAGGTGGAGGCTAATAAATAGGTTTTTATAGACGCCGAAAGTGATGCCTGGTGCCGTGCGGGTTCCCATTTCACGCAGTACTCACATACAATACATGCGTACGTTGGTTATGTCGCTGTCTAGTTCGGATTAGTATGTATTGAGTATAAAACAGTATTCACACCATAAAACTAAAAGTATTACACCGATGCCGGTTTTGTTGTTGTAGCCGCAAAAATATTCCCCAAATTAGTCTTTACGTAATTCTGTCGGAGTGTTAGTCCTTTTTCGTAAAAAAATCCGGGTCGTTCCAGTATAAAGATCCGATTGTCGCAGGAGCTTTTGGATCTAAGTCGCCTCTCTTGAGCTCTTAACCCGCAGGTATCGCACGGGTCTGTTTGATTGAGGACAACATTTGCTTCGTCCTTATGGTGGTTAAATACCGTTGATGCCATGGACTGTAAGAGAGTGAATGAAGGTCGTCGGTAGGCTGCCAGCTCCAGCGGTTTTACGCAACATTGCTAAGCTGCGTCCTTAAAATAGAAAGAATAACTTTTTCCACTGATAAAATCAGGCTTCGCTCTGGTGTTTGTAGGAACTAAGTAAACTACAATATACTGATCTTAATTGTGCCAGTATTACTCGGGACTCTGGAGGCAGCTCGAAATCTTGATTTTATTGTTTTTTTTTTGTTGGTTAGGGACATGCTAGTAAGTCTAAGAAACCGAGGTCATCTAAGGAGAGGTCCAGGAAACGAGTTGTTTCGACGGGTTCGGCCCAAAGAGAGAGTGTGTTTTAGGGGATTTGTGAACAGGTGGTTAGTACGATCGTACGGAGAGGGGGTTACATGCTGGGCATACATACATAAGTTAAGTAAGTCGGGATTGAGTGTGGATAGGTAAGAGTTTAACCTGCAACAATATCCGGACAGCGATCTACCACGTTTGGGTTGTTGTTGTTGTTGCTGTAGCGGTTCAGGTTTTATTAATCTAAGACGCGGAGGTCGTCTAATGGGAAGTGCAGGAAACGAGCTGTTTCGATAGAGTTGGACCAAAGGGAGAGGGGGTTAGATGAGTTGGTTTGAGAGGGCATGTAAAGAGGTGGTTAGTGTCGTGCGAAGACTCTCCACATGCAGGGAATACGTTGGGTATGCAGGGGTCTAGAATGGATAAGTAAGCGTTTAACCTGCTACACTATCCAAAACTGAGTTGTGCCAAGGTCACGCGGGTCTCTCGAGGCAACTCGAGCTCGTTGTCTGCTATGGGTGGTGATTTTTCTCCGAGCATGTCATTCACTGGAAGGAAAACTTTTCGGGTGTTGACTGACACCTGGTGAATAACCTTCAGTGCTTTTCTGTACGCCATCCTAACCAGCGGTTGTTGCACATGTTGCTGGATTGTGTCCTTTAGATCTAGTACTCCCTTTCTGATGTTCCTAGGTGGAGGTTCAGCTTCTATTAGATGCCCATGGGGGTACTCCTTGCGGTAGCATGCCAAAAGGAACTGCTTGCACAGCAAAGCATTATACTCCTTAACTCGTAGCATAGATGTTTCGCTGTGCAAGTGATGCTCCGTCGATGCACGTTTAGGTCGTGCTCTTCGTCTGCTATGGGTGGTGATTGTATTCTGAGCACGCTGTCCACTAGAGAGAAGTTCATTTGATTGAAAATTTCGCTGTCCGTTGCAACAAGAAATGCAAATAAGAACGTCAATGACCTTAAAGCGTGTTTTTTACGCTGCGCGTCAGTTTTATTTAAAAATAATAATTATTCATGTTTCACAAGCCAAGGCACAATCAAATTTTAAGCGATATTTAAAATCTCCATTGATTATTAACGAAGTTAAAATATTCATTAATAGCAAAAAATTCGAAAAAAAAAAATTAAAAAAAAAAAACATTTTTCCAACAATTCCACAAATGCTTGTTTTTATGTTTTATATTATAGGTACTCGTAGTTCAATTGCGTCTTCTCCACGCCCGCTCTAAAGCAAGCGATCTGCCGTACGCTGCGCAACGGCGCCAACAGTTGCAGCAGATTTATCAGTTCTCTTTTGCTTACTGCCGCCATCAAACCAGCCCGATTCGACTGCAAAAATTGTAGAGAAAATATTGGAGATTAGCAAAAATTGAATACGGTTGAAATTGAATTTCTTCTTTTTTTTTTTTGCTAATTTTTCCCAAATTTTTGCAGGCGGCATGGAATGATGAAAATGTACACATGAAGACGCGATGAAGTGATTTAGTTTATAAAGTTTTTAACTAAATACTATTTGATTATATATAAACGAAGAAGAATTAAAACACAAATCAATTGCAATGCGCTTTTTTATTGTATTTTGCTAAGGCAGTTTTATTGAGTTTAATTTTGCGCTTCTTTAGAACTTAATTCGTAGACTCCTTGTGGGGTTAAAGCATTAAAGAGTGAAGAAGATAAACAAAAGAGAAAGTCATAGTAAGAAATTATTAACATTCCAATCCATACACACTGTATTTGTGAAAAACTAACAAAAAAAAAGAACGCTCGCCAATAGATTTGAGTAACGAAATTATTCATATATTTTGTTCTGTACTAAGAACTCAAAAACATACAATTCTGGAAACTTTTAAAACTTAATAACTAATTTAATGTAGGTCTGCACTTGTAGCATGATTCTCGATTTTTGTGGAAATGAGAGAATTAACAAAAAATCCAGTTCATTTCAAAATTTCAAATTTCGAATTTGATTATATACAAATTTTTGGCAAGGTAAAACAAATTTGCCAAAATTATTTGTACATTAACTAAATTGAAAAGTTCGCAAAACATGATTTTTTTTTTTTAAATTTTCAGTTAATTCTTACATGTTACTTCTTTGCAATTATTATATTCTGTTTTAAGAAAGCAAATTTATTTACTTTTGTAAACTTTCTCAGTCATATCATCGAAGCCAGAATCTTGAATGTTCAACATCAAACTGTCGGCTGAGAGGTAGACCCGGTTTTGTGAATTAGCAATCTAAAGGAAAATATTTAAGTTAATCTTATGCACTTTCACTTTCACTATTTTATAAACTTACAGTTCTTGCTATGCTTTGAGCGGCACGTATTTTACGCAATTTCAAGTAGGCGGGATTCTGTTTCACAGCAAGACCCAACATTTTAGCTGCTTCAGCCTCACCCTCAGCTTGTACAATCTTTTGCTGTTTCTCTTGCTTGGCACGCTCGACGAAGAACACTGCACGCTGTGCTTCTTGTTGCGCCACCTGTTTGGCTTCAACAGCGGCGGTATATTCCTTTCCGAAACTCAATTCAGTGAGGGAAACATCATCCAGAATAATGTTGAAGTCACGTGCGCGTTCAACCAATTCTCTGCGTATGAGCAATGAAACCTACACCAAAGAAACAAATGTAAAAAAAAAGTTATTTGTAATTATCTGAAAGTTAAAGATGTAAGTATTTTCTTACCTGCTGACGTTGTGTGATCAATTGAGATGCATTGAATTTGGCTACTACACTTTTTAACACTTCATTGCAAATTGATGGCAAAACTTTTTCGTCATAATCAACACCCAGTTGACGATGCAATATTGGAAGACGCACGGAGTCGGGACGCGAGAGCACACGCAGCGAAATATTGATCATCTGTAAATCCTTTGAGCCGGTAGGAGATGAAATTTTACGGGGCCGTGAACGAATGTCATAAACGATTGGATACTGGAACCAGGGAATGCGGAAATGTAAGCCTTCTGAATATATTTCATTTTGGATGCCACCAAGACGGTTGAAAATGATCGCACGATGACCACCATCCACTAGAAAGTGATGAAAATAAATATATTAATACATTTATATCAACAATAAAAATTTGACACTCTTCACAAATTAATTATTGTTATGCAACCGGCGGCGATACAACTAGAGCCGGCACATGTTCACCACATACATAAGTGAAGCTTTCATAGCTAATTTTAAATTATCACGCTTATACTATAATAACGTTTAGCAAAAATTACGTATTTAATAATTTTTTCAAAGTATGCAATTTCACTGCAACATTATGAAATGTCAACCAAGAGCGTCGCTGATAACTAAATTTGAGGTTATGTCATGAACATGTTTAATTGTACCATTGCTATTTATGTTCTCTAGAAATTTTATAAAACCTCACCTGTATAAAGAGATTGATTGATGCCATAAGCCGCAGCTCCAACTGCAGCCAATAGTTTGATACCTGTGGTTAATCCTGGTGGTCCACCTTTGCCCAACTTTCCAGCCAAATCATTCAGTTTACTCTGTGCCATTGTAACTCAATTCTCTTGGTTTAGATGAAAATAAAAAACGCATGAATTTATATTGTTTTACATGTTTTCCTGAAAATACTTACTATTAAATGCAATCGAACAATAAACGCGAGAAACACACACAAATTAATAGAAAAAATCTGATTGCAAAATATGCCGCACGGTTGGTTCAATTTCTTCTAATCAGAGAGAACAGGGTTGCATGCAACTGCACGGAAATTAATACAACAAACAAGATTAAGTAATTGAATTTACGAAATAAACTAAATGCAAAGAACGTATATGAATAAGGAGCGGTATATACGTTCTTTGCCAAAAGTTTACATTGTGTGGATTTTAATACAATAAAGCATTATGGTTGCGATGACTGAAGAACATTCTAAAAGGCGCAAGTTGAATGTCCGTCATCGAGAACATTGAAACAAGGACATTTTAAGAATTAATGCAAGAAATTGCCCTTGTATATATAAGCAAATCGCGTACTACAGCCATTTTCAGCTGAGTTTAGAACTTGATATAGGTACCATCGACTTAGATTAACATTATAACCCAGTGCAAATTTATCTCCGCTGTTCCATTAAGTTTTTAACGAAAATTTAACTATCATATATATGAAGTATATATTAAGCTTATTTTTAAAGTTTTCCATTTAAATCGTAAAAATTTTCAGAAGAAAAAATAAATAGAAGCCATGACAAAATTTTGGCATGATGTTACGTTACGCCAATCTGTCACGCTACGCGGCGCTACAATTTTTTTAACGAAAATCGCTGCAAAAATTCGGAGTTATTTTTAAATTTCTGGTAATGGTATTCTTGTTTAGAAAGTATGGTAACTACTTATTAAAATCCTTTGCAACACTGTGAGTTCGGAGTACAAGAAATTAAAATGATTTATTTTCAATAGTCAAAAGATTTGTGATGATTTTCCTGCTCATAAGTCGCTTTATTTATAATTAGCTGTGTAATATCATATACAATTTTCGTTGCAAAGGTTTGCGAATATATGTATAATTCTAGTGTGTGATACAATAACTATATGGTAAATGGATTTGCCAGCGATGGCGCCTATAACAAAAGATAATGCAGCTGCCACCGACGTCTCATTGAGGTTTTACTCCTTCTTGCCGTGCACTCAGCCTAAAAAGAGTATGTACAATAGTTTATAATTATGTTTTGTTTGCGCAGCCATAAAAATATAATCTTTGTATATATATGTAATGACAGATTTAAATAGCTCCAGAACAAGTGGTTACTGTACAGATACGAGTGGTGTCGTTGTTATCAATGATAGCGATGATGAGGATTCATCGACTACTTTATCTGCCACTTCAGAACCTCAATTTGAATTTCTTTGCGAAATCGATGTGGACAAAAATGTGGCGCTACCAAGACCGATTGAGTTAAAGGTAGAGTGTAAAAAAGAACCTGAATTCGAAGTGAACGTTCAACGAAAGGAGAATATCTACAATGAAAGAAATCCCAAATCATTACCCACAGTGCAAACATCAGAATATAGTGATTGTGAAGATGATCTTCTGGCTTTGTGTAAAATTGAACCAGTTTGCGATCTTAATGAAACCCCACCACACACCGCTATCGAACAAGAAAATAATCACTACATATATTTCACTTGCCCACAATGTGGTGAACGATTTGATTCACATCCTCATTGGCGACTTCACATTGAAACTGTACATCAGTTAGGAGATCAAAGAAAATGGAATTTCAAGCGGCGACCCAACAATGAGTTCGAATGCAATAGTTGTCGTATGATGTTTACGCGTTGCACACTAAAGACTTTGCAACAACATCGTTTCACACACTTGCCACACAAGGTCTACCATTGTAAATTGTGTCCATTCGAGGAGCAAAGTATGTTTTTGATGATATCGCATATTATGCTGCATAAAGAAAAAGATGCTAGTAGCAGTGGCAAGCCATCAAATAATAATAGTGCACCATCTGCACGGGAAATCGCTATGTGGGAACATGAGAGTAGCACTTTAATTGCATACATTTGTCCGGCCTGTGGCTTGACATTCGACGCAGAGGATGCTTGGCAAGCGCATATCAATTTTAGGTGAGTATCTAATTGTATTACAATTTTGTAGCTCAAATGAACGCAACTTATTTTTTGAAATTTAAATTTTTATAGTAAATAACTGAACAAAATTTGTGGCATAGATATATTGCTTGTCACAACATTGATTGATTGAAGTTTTTGGATTCTTTAAAATAACTTAGTATAAATTAAAATCATGTATATACATATGTATGTATGATGTTAATAATTTTTTTTTTGCGTTCATAAAAGTTACAATTGAGTTGTATTCATTGTTTTATTCCAATTAAAAACTATTTCCTTGTCGCTCTGTGCACCTGTAGTCACAACTTTCTGGAAAAGACGGCTGAAAATCGGTTTGGTGATCATTTCAAATGTTCTGAATGCGCTGTGGAAATCTTTTCGCAACATATTGCCGACTTACAACAACATCTATTCACACATTTGCCATACAAATCATATTTTAAATGCAAAGTATGCAGTTTTACAATTTCAAGGCGAAACTTCATGCTCTCACACATATTAAACCTACATAAATCGCATCTCAGTCCTAGCGCAATGCCAAACGGTGACTCGCTAATGACAACAGCCACAGCAACATCAACGACTTCAACCGCTGGTCTTTCACCAGCGCCCGTAACAACAACAACGACAACAACATCACCAAGAGTAGAAAGAATGAGTGATAGTGCTGCTGCTGCTGCTACTGCTGCTGCTGCTACTGCTGATCAGTTATCCTCGGGTGGTATGTTAGAATCGGATGATTTAAATACAACATTGGCAAGCCCACATGATGACGATATCAGTCTGCGAAAATTTTCAACTCCATCTCAACGGTTTAACAATAAAATATATAGCAGTTATGAACAGCTAGCACTTGCCGCGCAGTTGAATAAAAGTAAAGGTTCGTTTACGTGTGAAAAATGCACGAAACATTATTTATATCGAAAAAGTTTCGATAAGCATATACGGTATTGTAATCAAACAATACACCCATACAGACGGATATGAAAAGAAAACAAATACGTATAAATAAATGTTTAGATATAAATACTTACATATACATACGTAAGCTAATACAAAGCAGTTTGTAAATATGTGCAGAGTAGCTGAACGCTAAGCATCAAACCATCGAAACGTGAAATCCTATACATACATATGTAATGGGGAAGATTTTTTTTTTTTTTTTTGATGTCCTATGCTTTAATTCCATTTTCGTACATTCCACGTGCATTTGTGGGCTTGTGTTTCTAGTATATTTATACTGAAGCAATTTTATCACAAACTCTAACGCACGGAGAGGAACATATTGAATATATTTCAGCTTAGCATTGTTTTAAATGATAAGCAAAGGAATTATTACGACTTTACATCAGTATCTAATGTATGACGTTTTAAGTCACGCTTTGTCTTTAATTTTCCTGACATCCAATATTCTATTATGTTTAGTTTGTGTTATTTCATAAATATTTTTAATGACATATTTTCATTATTTACCAATTTTGTTATCGGATGAAACTGTTTCCCACACTAATTAGGGTAAGTTACATAAGTACAAAAAAAGAAATTTTTTCAAACAAAATGAAATAAAATAAGCGCATCTGAACTTTTGTATAAAAAAAAACATCTAATATATTATGGCTTTACTCTTATAAAATAGATTGCATGTGTGTATGTACAAGTATATGTATGTATTATATATGCTATTCGAAGGTAAAACTTTACAAAAGTCTAAATAATTGGTATTTTCGTATGTGTGATCCTTAATTATATGTATATACAAATATCTATATGAGGGACACATTTTACATTCACATAAATACAAATATTATAAGAAGAAAATTCCGTCACATAAACATTAAATCACACATAATATTACATAAATTTTACAAACATTAAAAGCAAAACAAAAACTGACATCGGTAAGCTAAGGCTAAAGGAAATACATTGAATATACATAAAATTACTTAGATTTAGTTTAACATTTTGTCACATATCGTTCAAATTGCAATTCTCATTTCTCCCAAAATCCGTATCGCGCAAATAATGTGACGTCTGGTCGTTTATCAACGACATGACAATCGCTTTCAGACTAAGCAAAGAGGCCAATTTATATTTGAGCGTCACAGACTTGATCAAAGTCACCAATTGTGACAAATGTTCATCCATGCGCGTGCTGATGCGATGATGTTGAGCGTAGAGTTGAAAACTAGAAGAGTAAGCGGTATGTATTTAAAGAACAATTATTTAAGAAAATGTGTAGTTTTAGGGTAAGGAAATGAATGAATAGTTAAGCGTAGGATTTCACACAGATTATATATGTATGAAATATTCAGAATTTTTAACTTTTAAATTTCTTAAAAATAAAAAAAGAATAAGTAAAGACAAAAAGTTATGCTTAATTTGTTTTTTAAGCATCGCCTAAATGTATGTTGTGTCTTAGAAGTGGCGAGTGTAGAAATTTTCTGCATTCATTTATTGCCTAAGTTGAAGTAATTAAACTTTTTTTTATAGGTAGTACTAGGGAAAATTAAAGTATTTATGATTGGAATGTAAATATGAATTTACACTTGTTTTTCACTTTTTTTGTTTAGTTTGAAATTCTTTAAATATTGTTCAGCAGATTAAAAGTAAAACATGTCTTATAACTTGTTAGGGTATCCTTTTCATACCTACCCTTTAACGGTATTTTCAATGATGTTATCATTAATTTGCATATGTTGCAAATATTCCTGCAGATAATTTGCATGCCCCAGTATAACATATTGGGAGAGCAGAACTTCAGACCAATTAATGTCATATCCATAAGCTCTACTTAGTATAAGCGATTGCGGTACACTGGAAAATACATAATATGCAAACTTTTAAAGATAAATAATAGGTTTGTTTAATCAAATTTAATCAGTCGACTTTTAATAAAACATTTTCATAATTGATATTACATTAAATAATAAATGTCAAACATATTTTTTACAAATTACCGTATTTTTTATGACTTGAAGTGACAAACGCTTTTTTTTTGATAGAGGAGGTAAATAATTGGTTTCTATACAGAATATGCTCAAAAGACATTATACTAATTTCAGAAAAGGAGCCTTGCTTTGCAATGCAATTTATTTCAACAGTAAAAAAATCAGAAGTGGAATAAAATTTTCTATTAAAATTGGAACAATTATATATATATATATAATCGGCGCTTTGTAACCGCTGAAGTGAATACACTATTTATGGAACAAAATATCACTCACCTCAACTCCGCATTGATGAGCTCACGAAATTCATCGCGTGTCTGCACATTCACCACACAAACACATAAGTGTGGCTCCGGAGCGCTACGATCCGAAATAGCCTTATTGGCCAAATCAATTTGTACTGCCAACATTTCAGCTAGCGAAGCGACTCGTTGAGCTAAAAGCAATTTATTGTCGAGTAAATAATTTTCAGTGGCATGCGTGTAGTATTCCATAGCTTGTTGCAACAAAAGCGATAACTCTGGCGTACAACGTAATTTGGGTATGAATGTTTTTGTCGGATTTGCAGATGTCAGATTGGCCATAGACATCTTCTCGGGCAAGAGTGCAGTACTGACAGCCGATTGATTAATTACTTTCGCTAGTACCGCCTGTGCGTCTTGCTCCCACATTTCCGCCAGCTCTTGATACATAAGAAAGTGTAAAGCAGTCAATTTCAAATATTCCCTACCATTATTTGGACAATACTCGCGTAGATATGTTATTATGGCCTGACGTAGGCCAATTGTCTTCTCTTCATCGAATTGTCCGAGTAGTGATTCAAATTGTTCATTCTTTAGTAACGAATCGAAGCAGTAGAACATTTCACGATAACGTCCTATGCCGCTGAGCATGCGTACAATTAATGACCAGGACTTGGCATTTGTCAGTACGGTATTTAGCGCTTTTGCACGATTCAATACATTCGCAATACCTTCCATGGAACATTCGTGCACGTAACATTGATGCGCTTTTATCAGCAGCTCTACATAGATGATATTCTGTTTCTTGTGAGACAACACTTGTGCTGGCGGCAACATTGAGCCGGCGTTTGTGGCAGTAGTTATTGGTGGAATGGATGTTGGCATTTGATTGCCGCTGCTGTTTGTCGGTAGACCATAACGTCTAATGATTTCGGCGAGTCGTTCAAAAACATTATTATGCTCGTAAGGTTTATTGTCTTGAAATTTACGATAAGCCTTCAATGCATCACAATATTCTAATAGACAATTGCCCAGCTTTGTTGTATTGGGCACTAATTCCAAAAAGAGATGTAAATCACGATCGATATTATATCCCCAAACGGGTGTGTTCTTGATAGCATTCTTTGCTTGCTGATCGGTTGTAAAAATGTAGAAGCGTGGACGTACAATGGCCGTTGCGAGTTCTAAGGCCAACAGTTCAGCGATCTGTTGATAAAATAGTAATAAATATTAAAATTTTCATAATATTTGTATGTATGTATGCATTTTGGAGATGAATAGTTTCCAGGCTTAGTAGGAAGAAAGTCTACACAAAATCTACTTAATTTCAACAGCTACGTGCTCTCTAAGGCGATTTTTACACACCTCTTGCGTTGTCATATGCGATGATGTGAGTATATCACTCACAACTAGCAAACGATGCAGACAACCTTCCTCGGAGACACTTTGCAGCAATACAGTTGTGTCTTTCGTTCTTAACACATCCAAATACTCTTTATCCAAATACATAGCTGCACGGTAAACCATTACAATTCGTCGTCCAATACTAACACCATAGGTGAGCTTTGAAGCGATGCCTTGAATGGTTTCCAAAGTTTCTCGCTTTTCCTTCGATGGTATCTCTTCGAACTCGAAGGTGGAGCAACTGTCTGTAAGATCGCTGCTGGCTTTGGATGGCGAATTTTGACCTGCAAATGAAAACAATTTTATATTCAACCTTCTACTTAAATTTTAGCATACGAGTACCTTCGCGCGTTAGCAAACCACTATCCAGTGTCCGTTTATTGAATTTCGCAAACGAGCTTATCTCAATATCACGCAACATTTGTCGTTCCTCCGAAGACATGCTAAAAATTGTTGTTACACCTTCGGCAAGTGCCATGCAAAATACCACGAAACGCAAGTCGATTGGACGGCATTCGAAAAGCTCCTGTAGGCGCAATGCCTCTACAATGTCGCCCTTATCAAGCAGCAAATTGAGCTGAGCCTCAAGACGTGCCTCCATTTGTCGGGTCAAAGGATGCTTTATACTGACATTAAGATCTTCAATGCCTGCTAATTCCTTCAATTCTAGGAAAGATTTATATAATACACAACGTTCATTCAACATGATTTGCTCGAAATATTCAGAGTGATAAATGCCCATCTCGGATGCCACTTCATCGTCCAATTGCAGATAACAAATAATCATTTCATATTCGATTTGATCACGATCGAATGACTCATTCGGAAAGAGGTGATGTTGTTTGATTACTGTGAGGGCGCGTTTAAGAAGTTGGTACTTGCGTGCGCATGGATTTGACAGGCGACCGGCGGCATAGAGATAAAAGTTGACGAGTAATTCCGGCGGCAGCGAATGCTCGGAAATTTCCTCTTCATATAACTGAAAGGCGCTCTCCGCATATGGTGCTTCATCGTCGGCTGAGCCTGTCAAATCCAGTTTGGTTATCCATTTGGTGTAAACAATGTCGCTGATGGGTTGTTGTAGTAGTGTGGCCAAGCGTACCGCCACATCGTATTCTCCTTTCGCACGCAATTCTTCCAAGAGTCCTTCATAAACCTGATTATTTTCTTCCGCGAGTTGCTCAAAATCGATTTTGTAGTACTCAGCCCAACCAGGACGCGTCTGCAACGCTTCGAATATGGCTTGCAATCGGCAAAAATCCATTTTGACGCTAATATCGCTCATATCGGAGCGACACATGCAGTTAATTAATTTTTGTTGCTCCAAAGTCGAGTCGAAATTGTGCTGTAAATGCACGAGAAGTAACCGAATGCTACGATGCATGAGCTCGTTGCGCGGTAGTGTAGCGCAGAAGGGCATTGTGATGGAATCGTTGCTCCAAGCGAGCAGAAAGAGACGTAGGGAATGCACATCTTCATCATCGAAGCAACGTTTCCGTTGAGTACGTTGTAGAAAACGACAGAGATGTGCGAAGGGATTCTCCTAAAGGCAAGAATTTATACACACATACACATATGAAAGCTTTTATAGATTTCATTTTTCTGAAGGGGAAAGTAATTTATACCTTAAAAAATATGCGAAAACTGCGCAGCAAAAGACATACATCTCCCTGGCGCACTGCAGTGTCCAATAGCAACCAGGAAACTTTTTCCATATCCATTGTGGACAACTTTATCACTTCAGTCCACTGATTTGTGGCAACAGCAAGCCACACAAGCCACTGCCATTCGACATTTACATGATAAACTGTAGCTGCAAGTACCGCCAGCACAGGTAATCGGTATTTCACGCAGTTTCTGAGCAAATTCCATGATGTCGCTTGTGTACGCTGATCTTGCATGAGTTCGAGAAATTTAGTTGTACTGTTCACATACTGCTCATTCACGGCCGTGCTGCTGAGCAAAACAATAGCAAATAGATCTAAACGCCCACAAGCGTCGGGCAAGAAATGCAGGCGTTGTTGACTGGGTGCAGTGCGGAATACGGCATTATTGGGATCATTGCAGGCGGAAGTTATGGAGGTAATAGTTTCAGAAGAGGTGGTGACGGTCTGTGAATTCAAAAATTTTTAGCTCCGATTTGAGAGTTAATATTACGACGTCTAAGCATGAGGAATACTCACTTTTGCTTCACCTTTACGCACGGGTTTTTTCTTTTGACGCGAGAAGCTCGCGTGCCGCTTCGATTGCGGTGGCACTTCACATAAAAACGAGCGCAGCAAATGTTCGCCCATGGCGCGTGATTCAAAATGACCTATCAAAATTTGTAGTTGGGAAAGTGGTACATCGAAGTATTGCATCAACACCAAGAGTCGCCACCAATCGTCATCACATGCGTAATGCTGCATTACTTTCATCGGCCACTGACGCTGACCACTACAGACTACAATACGCATTAGTGCCTGATAGTCAACTAAAGGAAATTTGGCTGGTTCTTTCACAATGCGCTGTAGTAATAGACTCTCGACTCGAGCCAATAGTTGTGTAAAATTTTTGATGGCTGTATTAACTACGACCTCATTTGCTTCATCTTCCTCATATTCAAGAAGACGACATAATTTCAGGTAATTACGTAAGTATTGCGAATCATAACCGAGCATCTCAATGAAAGCTGTGCAGTGTGCAGCTAATTCCATATTGTTAGCGTGTTGCAGCGCAAATTCTGTAACGGTTTCACAAGCCCTGAAGAGGTGACCTTTGGTCAATTGACCATATTGCTGTAAATGGTCCATGACAAAGTAATAGACAGCGTAGCAACTGCGTTGCTGTTTCAAATAATGTAAAAAATTTAATTTATACTTTCGGCCGAATTTTGCACAAAGTTTTTCGTTAGAGAATGATGCTAAGCTGTCGGTTTGAAGCTCTTTCGAAACTTCCTTCATATCAATTTGTTTGAACTTTCTTAGAAAATCATATGGTGTGGGAATATACTTGCCGTTTCCATTATTACAATTATCTGAACCATTAGTGATATTGGACTCACTGTTATGCACTGGATTTCTGATGGATAATGTCTTCAAATATGGAATGTTTTGTAGCGCTGTGGTGTGTAAATAACAATTCAAATTTGCCACACTGGGTTCGTTGCTAAGAAAGTCAAATAATGTTACTAATGGTTGGGTGTTGTTAAAGTCAATACCTTGGTGCTCTAAATACACTTTGGTTGCTTGAAAGACCTAATAATTTAAAAAAAAAATTAACAAGTCATGGTAGAAAATTTAAAAAATAAAATACTCACTTTCTCGAATTCCTCCAAATCATCAGTTTTATTTTCTTTTAATGCTACTAAAAACTTGAGCAACTCCTCGTCGTCTGGAAATTCTTCGATCATCTCTTCAAGTTCGCGTGTCTTGACAAAGTCACGTAGCAGCAACGTATGCAGGCCTCGATTCAACAAAAAGTGCCCCAACGGTAACTTCTCCAATAGTTCACGGTTACGTTCTAAACTTTCAGTAGTGCATAAACGTCGTATCACTATGGCCACATCTTCTCTTTCATCGCCAAAAAAGTATCCCGCAGCAGCAAAACAATTTCGCAGTGTTTCATTAGGCATTTCCAAAGCTTTTAATGCAAGCTCAAACATTTCAGCTTCCACTTCCCAACCACAATATAGCAAGTCTAGTTCAGTATACTCAATTTGCGTTGGCTGGCCCGCTAATGTGCACCAACGTACTAATTGTCCAAATTTCGCTTCTTCGACCAAATAACTCCACATATCATATTTGTTTAAACGTTTCAACAGCGATGGGTTGAGACTTAAAAAATATAACTCTGCTAGTAATTTATTGAGATATGATTCATTGCAGTGCACCAGCGTTTCTATGTTTACGCGTCGCAATTGTACTTTGCACTTGGCCAGTAGATCGGGACTCGCTTGCAATTGTTGTAGTAAGTCCCAATAGAATTGCAATTCTAGCAAATCAGACTCATAGTTTTGTGGATCCTTCTTCTGCAGATGATCCATTACAAGTTCGCGCAGCTCCTCATCATCACACTCACAGGCGAATTGGTAATAGAAACTTTTAACATCACGTTTAACATTGTTTAGCACCATTTCTGCTTTGCAAACAAGGCGTTCGGTGAGCAACCGTTGCACATATGTTTGTACTACATCTTGAAAGAAGAGCTCATATTCTGGTAGGGGCAATTTACGTTTTCGTGCCCAATACTCAATACAGAGATCTATGTTTTCTCCTTTGGTTGCAACCTCTTTGATAAGTGCCACTTCACTAATTCCTGTCCAGGATTTGAACAACTTATCTCGTTTAACTGACGCACTCATATTGTTGCTTAAAAATTTTCTTCAAAAGAATCGATTGTTGAAATAAATTATTACATGGCCATTGGCCCACTTAAACGGTTTCCTTTGTTTAGCAAGTTTCACTGGCTGACTGGAATTTTCTTTCGATTTCGATATACTGATAAGCATCTAAGTTTGTTTATTTGCTTGTTTTCTTACAACCGTCATCATATTTCGCTATTATAAATAAATAACAAAATAGTAAAATTGTTGAGGAATGAAAGAATGAAAAGTTAATTTGTTGTTATCAGCGGTGCACCAAAACTACACAGCCTCAGCGTTGGAAAAGCGACGGCGATAAATTATATTCGGAGAACTTGACTGTAAATTACAATGCATAAAACAATGCAATTATAGCTGCTAATAAGGCTTATAATAACATTAAAATTAAGTTTCCAAAAACGCTTAGATGTTTATCACTGAATGATTTATATCCGTTTAACCTTTTTTGAAATCATACAACTGCAGAGGCGTTGATTTTGTTACCAACGGCGATGAGCTCTGTGTCATATGTTCCTATGGAACAGCTGTTTGTTATTAATTAATTAGGGCTGCCAAATCTGGCATAAAATGCTTACAAAATAATGAAGAATTGCTTATTTTAATTAATATTAATACGCTTCTGCTTGTAAAATATAACGAAATTGTCGAAGAGCATAACAAAAGGCACCGGAAGTGGGTTTAAGCATTTTTAACGATTTTTTTTGATACTTTTCTTCCATTTTTTCCAATCGGTATCGGCACTAGCTTGTACGATTTGTGCTTATCGATAGTGGAAACTACTTTTTATCATCGCTAAATATTCAGTGCCAACAGATTTTTAAAAAATCAACAATTAAATCATTGTACAGTGCTGTAGATTTGTACAGTGATTTCAAGTGAGCAATATTTTATTTAAAATGTGAAGCAATCATACAGTTCAAGAATTCAAGAGATAGTGTACAACTGCAACAACATAAAAGATAATTTGCGTGCGATAATTTTATGCGTAAATAGAATAAATAAATTAGCAGTTCGTTTGAGTGCTGGTTCTCCAACACGGCGGAGTTCGCATGCAAAAATGCGGTGGCTTTCTTCGTACAGAGAGTTTTTGGCAATAACTCGAGGCCTGGCAGAAGATGAAAGTTGTGTTTGATCGTTTTATTCAAATTCAGCTAAATTTTCTAATTGCGGTCGCCCCTCGGTAGGGAATGTCAATACCTCCGAGTGTATTTCTCTAAAAAATATCAGCCGTTCGGAGGTGGCTTAGTATAAACTGTAGGTCCCTCGATTTGTTGGAAAAACATCCAGACGCGAAATCACAAATTGGAGAAGGAGCTCGGCTGAAAAAACACTTCAGAGGTTACAATGTTGTTCAAACATTCATACATAGGTACATTATATTAAACATATTTATTGAAAAATATTGGAATAAGTATGATAGTTCAATTTTACATTTTAATGAAGCCTTCATGCTTCTTCACACAGGCAACATACATTCTTTTTGTATGCATACAATTTATTTCAACTGGGTATATACGCGTATACATATATTTACCAAAAAAAAAAAAAAAAAATACATATACATATATATGTATATAAATATTAATATAAATATTTCTTTTTTTCGGTATCTAAAGTCTTTCTTGAAAAAATGTATGAGTTACACAGCGATCTTGAGGTCGGTAAGAACAGTAAAGCTGATTTCCGTGAATAATCCGGGTTTCGGAAGTTCTACTGTTCCCAATACCGGCGTGTTTATCGTATTTTTGTACCGTTATTGACGAAAATACATGTTTTATAGTTGGCCGAAAGAGCCAATTTGTTAGCTACTACCATTCGCAAGGTCACGTACTCGAATTCTGCCCCGACCAACATCCAAAACTATAGTAAATTAATTCAAAATAATGTTTATTTTTTTTATTGGGGTCGCCCCTTGTGAGGGAACGTCAACCCCCGTAAGTGTAGGCGCCTCAAAATCCATTAACCGTTCGAAGACGATTTTCGGCAAAGCTCCTCTTTCTATTTGTAGTGGTTGTCTTGATGTTTTCCTAACAAATGGAGAGAGCACCAGTTTTTACTAAGCCAGCTCTGTTGGATTTCTATGACGAGCTTTTATTTCATATCAGAAATACATTCCGTGAAGTGGAAGGACAATTAACTTAATTTTGTATTTAAATCAATTAGCTTGTTAGAAGTTCGGCGGACCAGAACTCGCACCCTGGCCTACCAAATGACTGTGCACACACATAACCACTGGCTATTGTGGCCGCCGAATTTTTCGAATAGGTCAGTTCTTGGTCCACTTCTTGGCGTTGAGGATAACCTTATATAGATACATATTAATATTCATAAGAATCGTTCAAACCTTTTCGGAGCAGTTTTGTTACAAACACATTGACAGTTAGTTTTCGTTTATCGAACTTACATAGCTTCTTTTCTGCTCTGTTATTGAACTTCTGAATGCTTCAAAGGAATTTCATAACCAGCTGTTGTTATTTTGTCATATTTTAATATACATACATACATACATTCAGACATACTTGTATTGCTTATGCTTAAAATTCTTGAACAGACGTTCATTTTTTGCCCTTTTGTCGAAACATATCAGATTTCGACACAAACTACTGTTATACAGCAAAACGCTTCTTGCTATTCGGCTACTAGTGCGCTGTGTAACTGTATCCGCGTGCAACGGTGCAAACGTCCTTCACAAAATGTCACATAGCCTGGCTTAATAGCATGCAAGCAAGCAGGCAGGAGAGCAGGCAGGCAGCTGAGCAAGCAAAGTGGAAATTAGCGAATGTTCAGTATTTCCCTTCACATTCGGTTTTAACGACGGAGGTTGAACGTTGACCTCACGAGTGGAATGTTGCAATATGCAAAATTGTGCTCAAGCATCGTACTGATAATGAAGGGTAAGAAGTGGGTGCAAGAGACTTTTTTTTCCAATTCTACTGGCTTTTTGTGGAGTTCCTTTCTTTCTTGTTGTCTTTCAATGCTTGGAATCGGCAGAGCTTTGTAACAAATGATCTGGCTGAACCACCTGGAGTTGGGAAGCAGTTTGTTTAAGTCAGGCCCAACAGTCAGTTAAAAATGTTGGTTTAGACTTCTTATCGACTTGAGGGTTCAGAGATTTTACATGTTAGTATACCAAGTCAGGGAACTCCAAAACCCTCTCACTGTGCGTCTACCCACCTCAGCTCGCATCTCACAAGCGGAAGTGATTGTTAAAGAAAGAGCTCTAATGAATAGCTGCGAGAGAATACAGAGTGTGTACATATACTCCAATAGTCAAGCGTTATTGCTGGCTCAAGCTTCATCAATATTAATTACCTGCGTCGCTGGCAGGTCAAATTTGAGTTCTCGTAACTAGGAATATTTTCAGTGACGAAAAAGCTGACGACTTGACCAAGTCGGGAGCATCACTCCTCGTGCAACAAACAGAAAAGCTCTTCAATTAAAATTAAAAAAGAAAAACAGCTCAGAATAGATGGAAATCCATATCTGACTGTAAAATGACGAAGCAGACTTCCAACTAAAGAATTAATAGGTCTTCAATCTATATAGACTGGTGAACAGTGGTTCTTTGGGGATCATACTTCTAAAAGAGACCTGCCCTATACCAGCCGTTATTGTAGAGTTCACAGCTAGGGAACAATTCTCTGTGAGGCTCTTGCTTTCTCACATATCCGACTTTGAATACTTGGAGCCCATCAGGCATCTAACCTTGATAACGTGTCTGCAAAAAGCATATTGGATGTAAACAGCTTCATTGGGTATAAACTGGCTCGGGGAGCACGTCGACTCACCTACGAAGGTGAAAGTGTTTTTTCTTTACTTTCAAAATACACCGAAATCGTCTCCTTGACTTCATCAGCGGGGAAAAAGTTTTTACTTCTCAGTTTTTTCATGAAATACTTCATCGAGGCGCGGTTTGAGCTGAAGAGTGGGTGGTTGAAAATGTCGCAGTCCATTTTCCCCACCTTTTCTCTTTATTGGCCTTTACCTCTCTCTTTAATGGCTTTTACTCTCTCTCGATTAATAATATTCCTTCTGGGTATCAAAATCCTTTGCCATGAGCTTCCCAGCTGACACCATAAACTTCTCAGAGATGAACCCAAGTTCCGTCTCCAGTTACAATTCAACTCAACTCAACAACTCAATACCCTTATGACAGAGGTCAAAAATACACGTAGCGTGTTCAAGCGCTGTTGTTGTTCATGCGGAGGCGTGGGCATTCTCCACTTCCATCTTGCGCTGACCTTAGTCATGCTAAAATGATCGGGCAGGATTTTAAAAATGGTTGCATCGGATACTCCAACCATTTCTGCTAGTTTTATGTCTCTTTAGTCAACCATCTTCGAGTATGTTTTTCTTTCAACTTTTTGGCTAAGTTCTAGTGAGTTCACCGCGATGCTCCTGCCTGGCGTCGGGTTGTCTTGAAGGAACTCACTTTTCGCGCCACTTGTACATCATGATTTCTCTCTAATGAGCATAATAACCTTCTTACAACCCGGTGATGGCGCGAATATGAAAACACACCCTCGTACCAAGTAAATTTTCGTAGTGACATCTATCGGCCGTGACAGAAAGTAAGGTATACCTTCAGCTTCAAAGCTCAACAAAGCTTCATTTGGTGCTTTCACTCGACGTTACCGAGCGAAAATGATTTCAACAACAAAGAGCAAGGTAATTGGATAAACAAGGCAAAAAATAAAAATATTTCCAAACGTAACCTTTTTCAGTGGAATGAAATCGATACCAGGATGTTATCAATGTTATTTTTAATATTAACTAAATTTAAATTCAAATAAACTTGCTGACAAATATTGAAAAAGGCTTCATGTTTACATTGTACGTAGATTAGAGAGTTGATATGAGATGGAGCACCAAAAACTCATGTTTTCATATGTAAAGGCGTTTCCCACATTCACACGGTTGTTCATATTTCCATATAACACCGCGCCGTGCTTACTAATCTGATTGCGTAAGATCTAAGCAAGTTCCAAGTTCACCCATATTCAAGAAGAGATGACGACAGTAGTGAAGACGGTGTGCAGGTTGACCGGTGGTGGTGGCGAGCGGCTCAGTAGGAAGTTAAATTAAACACACATTCAAGGTGGTCTAAATCATTCACACCTGGCTTGTTGGTGGTGGCATTAACAACAAGTTTTCGCTTTTATTTTTTAATTTTTAATTTTTTTCTCTAAGCCGCGACCAACAACATTTCACTGCCGCGGCCCATTACAAGACAGGTAGATTACTTTTATATCAACTTAACACAACTGGCGACAATAAATCACTGCGGCAAAGCTGCTTTGCGTTTCAACTGGTTCTTGGACACACAAGAAAAATTACGTTCGTGAAGGAAATGTTGGCAGAAGAGTAAAATAAACAATTAGAAAATAAAAATTTAAAATTTTTAAGAATGAATTCCGAGAATGTTTGAAATCAGAGCTTAAATAATTTTTACAATTTTTTTCTTTTTCATTTAATTTTTATTTCACTTTGTTTTTATGTTCAACAGCTGTCTTTCGCAGTTATTATTGTTGATTTTGTTTTTTGTTGTTGTTGTTTTTTTTTTTTGGCTGCAGCGCTAATATGCCGGTGCTCGCTGTCAGTTGGAATTGTCAGTGGAGCTTCACTGTCACATCACGTGGCTGCTTAAATGACACATAAGCCCAGTTTAGGACGCGTTTGGGTCAATGGTGTTGAGCTCGCGAGTTGTTGGTTTTGTTGTGCGTGAATTTTTGGGTATGTTTATAGGCATGTACTTAGTTTCATGCAGTGCGTGATGAGCTACATACATATATACATACATGTAGATATGTGTAGTTGGTAAGCGGATATATGCGACCATTATGACAAATAAAAATTAATTTTCACACGCCAGGCGTCATTTAGTAAAAAAAAAAACACTAAAAAAAAATTAAAAGCAAAAACAACATAATAATTTGTAAAAAGTGGTTTTTTGAAATTTTTCACGTGGCCTCTTTTATAAGTTTGCGTCACATAAATAGGGTTATCGATTTCGTGGTTTCAAAAATATCCAGACTAACTGTCAAACCAAACATGTTTTGTAAATAAAAAATTCTTATATAGCAACAAATTATGTTTTGTTTTAGCTCAAAGTTTGGCAACAATGAAAATCCATCGCTTAACAACCGCATTAAAATTGTTAAAAAACTACTCCATCTACTCAATCGATTGGTAAAATTTTAGATAAATTCAAAATGACTGGAGCCTCTGCTTCATCACTTTGCTCGTTCCACCCCAAATATCGCTCGAGTAAAGTAAAAGTTTAACCGACGACCCGAATGTGTCTACTTCTCGACATTCTCAAGAGCTGGGACGACTTTCTTACGGCACATTGTGGCTTATTTTGCACTG